CATGATATTTTTGTGTTTTAGATAATTTGTGATATGTGAAGTAGAACTTTGAAACTAGGGAACTAATCTGTTCAATATCATTCAATTTTAAGATATAAACATATAACAACTATTAAAGTCCATACGAGAAAAAACCTAAAATGATAAAATCAATAAATAGTAAATTAGAAAACCAAGAAGTTTATTGTTCTAATATATTTGACTCCCAATGTTTCTATTACAGACATAATTAACTATTCAGTCAATCATAGAGAAAAAAAAAGTGATACTATGACCTAAAGTCTTCCATGTTCAAGTCAAAATTAGACAAAGTTTTATTCTCTGTTTAATAATGTTTTGGTTTCATTTCCAGCTGATTCATTCTTTTAATTTCTTTCTGCACGAACCTTCTCTAACTTGTTTTGAGCATAATAACTCCTCTCTAACTTGTTTTGAGCATAATAACTTCTCATCAATCATCGCACCTCCAACTCATTGAATCATTGTCAACTAAACTTAAGTTTATTTTTTGTCGAAAGTGAAAAATATACTATATGGGAGCTAGTGTAGTTGCTTACAATATGATCACCTTGCCTGACATATGAAGGAGTCAAACTCTGGTGAGACTGTTCTGTTCTCTCGGTGTATATGTTCTTTTTAAAAGCTTGACTCTTTTGTTACCATCATATACGTTACCAAGTTCAGTTTGAACTTTGAACGACATTTTGATTATGCATTGGTATCTGCAGGTATTCAAGTCGTATGGCTATCTGCTACCGGCTATCATAGTTTCGATGCTTCTTGCAACAGGTCCAAAGGCTTTTTTAATGGCCTTGGCATTGCCTCTTGGACAGTCAGCAATATCTCTGGCAATCGACAAGGTCTGGGGAAAGGTACCTGGAGGGCAACAAACCAGCCGCAAGTCCAAGAAGAAGTCTTTCACAAGATCTGATGGGGGCTATAAAAGACAGTGGCAGGACCGAAGCAGCTACAACAGCCCGGGAAGGCATGACTATCAGTCATGGGTATCTATGGATCCCGGTGTTGATGACAAGGCGAAAACTTCTGAACCCAGTTTGGGGGGATGGGATGACCTGGATCGGCAGGGAGGAAGCACCAGTGGTCGTGCAAGACAACAACCATCGACCCCAAGGAGTTCACCCGAGTCTGAGCTGGTGAAGAAGGGGAAGTTGTCCAAGAGGGGAAGATACAAGGGTGCACCACTGTTCCTGCGACTGCTGATTGCAGTTTTCCCATTCTTGGGTTCGTGGACTAGGATGTTGTGGTGAGAAGCGTGATCAGTAGGATACAGGTAAAAAGATCTCGTTTTGACATCAATGGGGTGCATAACAAGCAAGTCCGATTCAATGTGGAATTCCAAAATATGAAGTCTTGGTCAAAATTATTTTCTGAAGCAGCCCAGGATGATCGCATCGGGAGGATAATACGATACAGGAATTTGCACGTTAGTGAAGAATCAGAATAATGCATGATATTGCTGAACTACAGGCAAATGCCCGACGAGATTTCATCTCTAAAAAGCCTGTCTGAGACTTGGACACTATCATTTATATGTACAAGTGAATTATATCTGTTGCATTTGAATCCTTTTCAAGTATTATGTACACAAATTGCAATGTATATTACATGAGCAATATCTTAATGATGGCAAGGTGGCTTTTGTGTTCCTATTCTTGAGCACCTGACAAAAATAGTCTGTTGTGGAAAGAACGATATATGCTACAATTGAACCAAACGTGAATGACAAACAAATGTGGCTTTTGTTTCTGAGAAAGAGGATGTCTGTCAATCCAGCATATTTCCAATAGCCTTTTTCATTCACCTCAGGTAATATGACATTCAAAAAATTAGATGAGCAATATTTTTTTATCAATGTACTTTCCTACAAATCAGTTGATCAGTGTCATACCAACCATACAGAAATTTTCCTATTCCTAATTTGATCTAAAAATTTGTAATCTTTAGCGAGCAACTAAATTGGGATTAGAGCAAAACCGAACAGCAATAATCTTCGTTATCACTGATGCATTACGAAGAATAAACAAAATCAAATAGCAGGGATGCTTAAATTTTACAGCACATATATTCACAAATTAATTGGTTGTTTCGATATAACAACAGAATTAGAGTATGCTGTATAACAACAATTTACTTTGACTTTCAGGTGAAAGAATTTGAAGTTCCAGAAAACTAGCTGGTTGGCTTCATGAGATGACAAACACCCTCAGCTCCCCTCTGTCTCCGCGAGTGATACGAGTATCACTATCAAGGTATGTGACTTCGAATTCGCCACTTCCCGTGTTGGAAGGAGGTCGCAGTGCATCGGGAAGTTGAGGAACTTCAAGAGGTGGAAGTTGTGAGTAGCTCCCCCTTGGCTTAACAGTAGTTTTTATGAATGTTATTTTTATTTTAGAAGTTCCTGCACAAATGAAGGAACAATTTTTGGTACCAGTAGTTTCCAAGTAAATAGAAGTGCTTTCCATAACTATGAACTTGCTATGTACCAATTCCAAAATATCAATAAGCACTGTATTCCAAGGTTATAAAAGAGCAAATCATTTTTCATTATTCCCCTGACGTACCTGTGAATCAGTACGGTCCAAAAATGGACTTAAGAAAAAAAAAGAAATTATTTGAACATTAACACTAAGACAAGTAGGTAGAAATTGGTTGGATAAACTTACCAATAAGTTCGAATTTATGAGCTAATATAGCAGTAGCCTCTAGTTGTGGAAGTGGCCATGGTGTACCAAACTGAAGCTCCACTATATTATCAAAATCTTTGCTAAGGATATCGATCCGTTGGAAAACCTGTATGGAAATTTACATAGCTCGTGATGATCTTCGTCTACCACAAGATATCCAAGCTATAATGAATTCAAATTGTGTGCCAGAATCTAATTTCATCCATACAAGCTTCTTTATTAACATACCTGTCCAAGAGTTATTGGGAGTAGCCTGCCCGTCGGAGGTCCAGGACGGCTGCCACCTAGTGCGCGAGAAGAGAATGCACTGCTATAAATTAATTTCCATTGGCCCTGAAGTTTGTCCTGGTGTTTTGTAAGATCAACTACGCCTCCTACAGCCTCAAGCTCCTTTGCTGCAGATTCTGCCCTTCTTAGATCTTCTTCATTAGCTGCAAGGCCTCTGTTCAGCCCAGAAATAACACTCTGCATCCAATTTATGTATAAAAGAAAGCTTATTATATAACAACTAAACAAAAAACCGATCATGGACCAAACAGTTCAACATATACAAGACCAAAAAGTGTTTTGAGGTATATAGTAGCTGTCCAGCTCACTTTGAGGTGCGAATTAAAACCTTGTTGCTGCTTCTTTGGTTTTAGAGAAAAAATTGAACTTGCTTTGTATAAGACACAAGTGCAAGCACACTTTGCAGTCAGAGTGGTCGTGCAACGCCATCCAATGGTTGATATCAAAAATTGCAAACCTCGAGATCTTTTGTTCATCACAGAAGAGTCAGGGCAGAAATACTTTGAGCCTCAGAAGAGATTAACCTTCCAAAAATTATGTTGAAAATTGAGGCTTGTAGATCAATTGAAGGTGGGAATCGATCTATTAAGAAAGATCTTGAAGAATACTAAGTTGAGGAATTATACATACAGAGGTATTAGTTCATTACAGAAACACAGATGTACAGTGCTACAAATCCTAATTAAAGTTAAAACCTTGAACAATACATAATCAAAGCAGATGGTAGACAAAACAAATACAAAAAGAGAGATGATTTAATCTATAACACAAAAGATTGTTCTTTCAATGGAGAAAATATAATCTGATAATAATTCACCACACAAACAGAGACGTTCAGAACTGCAGACAACTTCAAACCACAGCCACCACACCAAAGTGGCAGAACATAGATGAGAACAAGAATCTAGCAAACAGGAAAAGCAAGTTCATTTATCGAAAAGGGAAAACACTAGAAGAAAACACACATCAATCAATAAGGAAAAGGAGGATGATGGAGGGAAGAGGGGGGAGATCTACTCACGAGCAATTTCAGCTTCAAGGGAGCGATGACATCGTGAGACTCTTGGAACCCGGGCGACGGGTCGAACACAGGGGACTCATCCAGCACAGCTGGTGCTGCCTGAAGGAAGAACTTCCTCCTGTGACTCGATTTTCGCAGATTTCCTATCGACGGGAAAATAAAGCGATGACGAGAGGAAGAAGATGATGCAGCAGCAGCAGAGGACGGAGAGAGAAGCGATGATGCAGGCGGAAGGAGAAGCGAAGCCATGACTTCCTGGCGAAAAGTCCCAATCCCGAGAGGACACTAATAACCTTTGGGGGCGAAAGTACACCAATTGGCAGAAACACCCCTATCAATTTAGATATTATCAAAGCAAGCTAGATTGAGGTTATGAAGAACTTATACATGCAAATTGAGTAATTTTGAATCTAATTAGGGATAAATATGAAAAAGACCTCGATAGGGGTGATGGAAAAGGGGCGGCAAATTCGTGGCCATCCGATGACGTGCTGACACCTGTGCGTCGAAGCGTCGGTACTTGGATTTGTGGCCAGGATTGAGAGTTGGGAGGCCTCCACATGATGTTAGATTTTAGTGATATATATAAATATATATATATATCCTTTTTCTTTTCGTACGGGGAGATGGTGAAGATAACTAAATGGATATTTAGCTGTGCCTTAAATTCATTTAAGGGCTTTTTAATTGCCCAACAACAATAAGTGGAATAAAGGTTTCCATTTATACATAAAAAATAAATTTTTAATTTAAATAAATTTGAATTTATGCTTATTTTTGATGTGAAACCAATTAAGGGTTTTACCATCTCTCAAGACTCCAATAAAGCTTCTGAATTTATCGATAAATAAATTAATCTATTAATTTTATTTAGATTAAATTATTAATTAAAATATTTAAACTAAAATTAATAATAATACACTCATCATATCCTTGTAAGTTAATCTTAATTCTGTCCGATATAAAACTAAAAAAAGTGTTACGGTATATACAATTCTCTCATGATCACATAATGGAAAGAAGTACTTTCTATTGATTTATAACATTTGGTTTCTATGTTCCAATTGCTGCATCTAAGATATAACTCAGGATTAAAATAGCAAATTCTCATGATTCAACACTGGGCTTAGGCTGCTTCAACTTTCTCAAGCATTAAACTATAGATTTCTCTGCCATCAATTTCAGTTGGCCATTCCCATCGCTCCTACTATTCCGGTCCTCGTCACCTTCACAAAATTTGAAGAGCTGCAATGATCTGATGAATTTTCGACCCCACTCTCCAGTACTACCCATTTCCAGGAAAGCATAGCCGAAGAAACAGAAGCATCAGGTTCATGGTATTCATGGATGAGAGGTAGCAGAGGTAGGCAGTCCAGTGATGGCAGTGAAGGACGAAGCTGCAAAGATGAGATTGATCCAATTCGTATACCTTCAGATTATTCGTTGATCGATGCCACTGAAAAGAAGCATCAGATAAAGGCCAAGAAGGGTAACAGCAAGCGAGCTACCGATCATCCAGAAGCTCGGAAGATAAGCAACTGTTGGATGGTTTTGCTCTGGAGTCCAGCTTAGCCTCGAACAGCAAGGAATAGGGAACCGGCGCGATGTCACTGTTAGAAGCAGGCTTATACTTAATGTACCAACAAAAATATAAAATATGCAATGAAAAAAGCACATAACCAGGACAAAAATGTTCAATAAAAAAGATAAATAGATGCAATGCTAATTGAAAGCTCATTCATCTTAAACACCTATGGGATGCATGAATTCCAACTATGGAAGGATATTTTGCAGTTTCTTCTTGTAAAAAAGAAGGAAAAGTTCATTACCATATCATATTTCTAACAGTTTCATACTGATCCTGCTTCACTACAAGCAGACCCACTATATGTTAAATGTGTTTATGTAGAACAAAACAAGACATATACACATACACATGTTGCATAAGTATTCAGGTCTCATTTTTCCACCTATATTTATGTATTTCAACTTAGAATCATTTTCAAATAAAAAGTTTCTCCTGCAAAAACTTGTCATTTTGCAATTATCACAGAGAATACTTCTTTGAACACTGATTAACAATTTCAGTTCGATTTTTATCAGAAGAAGCACCTTGAAAGAGTGTGGGAAAGGTTCATTTATGTAAAAGTGTATGAGAACAAAAATAAGTGAACCAATTAGGAGCAGAAATGGTTATTTTATCCCTCAGTCTAATCAAGTCACTTTGAACTAGCAATGTCAAGTCTCAAACAGATAGGAAACACTGAAGCTATTGTAACAGAGAGGTAATGAGCCAAGAATTCCACTGACCTGATAACCTATGGTTACCATACAGGGAAAAGGTGTGTTATAGGGTTATCTATTGCAAAGATTATTCTGAGACAAAGATCACAATCTTGAAACCAATCGGCATTGGCAAAAGAAAATAAAAAAGAACCTTTAGCTTTGCTCTTTATAGAGGCGTGGCCATGGAATTTCTAACAAAAAATCATCAAATTTTCTACTCATGCTAAGAAGCCTTAATGGGTAAAATTTGTGGATTTCTAACATATGTGGCAAATAACCCAAATTTATCTTGTTTTCCCGTATCATCACTTCTCTATTATTTCTGTGTGTAACTAGCCACTTCAAATATCTACCCAGCCAAACTTTTCCTCAGCTAGCACATTATACTTTGGAAAGCTATAACATGAGGAAATTGCTTGCAGAATTCTAAATGAAGGCAGCAGTAGCCTCCACAGGAAAATACGTAATGGCACTCCAATACTGGCCCACCATGGATATCCTCCAATGAAATGTTAATGCTGTTCTCACTAGATGCAAGACCTGATCGAATTGGACATGATCAACATCAAATGATTCATCACAACCATTTTCATATTTGCAATGAAAAAAAAGGAGTTGCAATTAATTTAGTACAATCCATTTGTATGCCCATTTTATGGTGTTTGTTTGGGCAACACAAGGTCTAAGCCAATAAGACTAAATTACAATGCTGGTGAAAATACTCTATGACAGTTGATTTCAAACACAAGACTCCAAGAATCCTAAAGTACAGCATGTAATACTATCCTAGAAAAAGCAAACCATGTGTCGCACATACAGTACTTTGACATTTAGAGCAACGTTTGCCCAAGCTAGCATCTGGCCTTATGCCAATATGCCATTGCAGGAAGCATGTAATCAGCTAAGGCATAGCCCGTAAAACACATGCTGTTGCACAAATCAATGTCAAACCAATAACAGCAAAGCCAAGATGTCATGACAAGGCAATCGTTAATTTGCAAAAAACATTGCAGCCCTTTCTAAGCTAATAAAAATACAAAAAGATGAATTGGTGAAAGAAATTTCAAGTAAATGTATTGTAATATATAGATATGTATAAGATTCAACAATATGTTCTTCATATATCATCAAAAGAATCATCAGTTCTGTGCTCACCAAATAACAAGGAAAAAAAAATGTATCCCTGTATACTTAACAAAAACCTACATATCAAAAATAAAACGATGACAAGTAGAAGCAGAATTTGAACCTGAATATGTTGAAAAATGTGTACTTGGAGCTACCTGCACACTGAAAAATAAAAAAAATATTTATAGTCCACCCACTAAGTTCAAAAATATTACAAAGACAGGGAATCCACAAACTATGATAAAGCATGGTAAAAGTTCATGCAGCCAAAGTAAGTTTTGTGGTGGCTTTCTAGTAACAGTTCATCCTAACTCAGTCCGAACAAAATGCCTATAAAAAACCAAGACAATGGATTAGGCCAAACATTCAAAAATATTTTATTGGGCAATATTTTGTCCACAATGCCTTCAAGGGTAAAGAACTATGTTTCTTCTGTAAATTAAGTCACTGATTTTAAACACAAATTCACTAACAGAAGACTTAGATTCTTGATTTTTTTTTCCACTGAAAACATGATAATAATTCCTAGATACATCAGTATAAACAATAAATAGTTGATACCTTCAGGCCAATGGTCACTTTCACTGCATCAGCAACATCTTCCACACCCCGAAGCATCGAAGCACGACATAGTTTCTACTCCAGCCAAGTCTAATTCCAATCTACAGCCACAGACATAACATCATTGCTTTCTAACAGTAGATATTCCAACAAAAGTTATTGTTAGTAGAATCTATCCTTATGATCAAAGTTATTTGAACAAACAATCAAATTATCAAACATGCTAGGATTCAAATACTAAAGAAATTGTCAGTATAAAAAGATCCAGAAGGGCACCAACCTGCTCACATCTCTCTTCAGTAGCCTTTTTGTCACAGGCTCCATCAAGAATTACAGTGGCATCTTTTAAGATTGACACCTAAAATATTATCACTTACAAGATCAATGTTGGTGCAAAACTAAGTAAAGAGCATAATAGTTTCTCTAATATGATAATCTTAAATCAAATCAATTGATACTGATTGCAGTAAAAAAATTAATGCAAATTATGTAAATGGAGGTTTTTAACTAAATAACAGAACCAGAATATCGAGATAAAATTGTAAAGCAGCCAACACAGATTGGAAACTACAAGAAAATGAGACCCCTTAGACACCTCAATTAATTATGAGCTCGAATCCTTCTTCTAGATCTGGAAACAGGTATAAAGAAATGAGAGCAAGGATTGACAGACACTAGTAACAAAGGGCTATAGAGGGTATAAGAACACAATCTGACCTTTTTGCATGTGCCAAGCTTGTTGAACTCAACTTTCCCAATGTTCATACCAAGTTCTCCTGTTATAACCTAAGTAAACAATGAAACAATTATTCTGGCAATACCATTTACAAACCATCAAAACACAACAATATTGAATAAGAAAAGATCCTCACAGATCCACCAGTGAGAGTAGCAAGATCTTGCAAACTAGCCTTCCTGTTCACCCCAAAACCAGGGGCCTTCACAACACAAACCAGTGTGATCACTATTCCTTAGTCAGAGTGTTTAAGAATAATCAAAATTCATAAATCCAAAATAAACAATAAATATATACATAAAACTAAACAAAAAACGACCCTAATCCCGGAACAAAGCTTCTTAAGAATTAGAGTCGTCAGTGCATCACTTTCTATGTCTTCTGCAACAATTAGCAATGGCCTCTGATGATCCGATTGACCCTTGAGCCGCTCAGATCATGCCACTTGTCTAGAGGTGTCTTGAATTCTGCCGCATGTCCCCCTTTCTTCAAGGTGTTCAGAAGTCAAACAAGCGACTAAGTAGTGTAATAGCCGCTCTTGACCTTAATAAATAGTAGTTTATCGCAAAACTTGCTCCTTACACCTGCCTGCAACTCAGACATCCTTGGACAATAACTTCGGCCTCGACCATTCAACGACTAAAGGTCCACGATGTTGTCATCCTCAACCTTCTCCTCAAGCACCTCGAACTCAGATAGGTCATTGATTCCATCACCACCCTCGGTGTCGACGACGGGAATTTCATCTTTTGAGGGAGCCAAGTTGATCGCACTAGTGGAGGTTGCCCATTTGGAGGTGAATCCACCCTGCAAAGCAGCTCCGCCACCTATGGTGGAGTCCTTTGACTCGGACTCCATAATGTTGACCTCCGACCTCGAGGCACTCCAGGAGGTCTATCACATACCAACCGAGCACGAGCTAGTGTTTGCTTAGTCGGGTAACTAATCCTATGCAGGATGCACTGGACGTGGGGTTTCGCTCTCCCCTCCACCCATTTTTTATTGAGACTTTCAATTTCTAAAAGTTCTCACATGCCCAAATGAAGCCAAATTTGTGGCGCTTTCTTAGTTTCTTATGGCATTTATTGGGGAGTTTAGATGACTCCACATTCCCTCGATGATGACCCTCCTGCTAGCCTACTATAGTCAGTGCTTCAGGGGGTCGACGTACTTCTTCTCCACCCAACCCGAATTATGAAAATTATTTTCATAATTTTCTCATTTTCATAATATATTATTTGAACTCTAAGATCAATTTTATATAATTATTTTCTTGTTAATATAAATCATTATATATCATTAATATTTATTTTTATATAAATTGGAGATCTAAGTTTTGGGTTAATTAAACTGACTCAATTGAATTGGTTGGTTAAATTGAATGGGTTTCAAAACATAAGGAAAATGAGGAAAAGGCAAGTGTAATTAAGAGTACTTTTATCCAACCAAAAAAGCAAGGATGCTGTATTAAATTATACACTTTGGTGCATTTTATAGAAAAAAAGATAAAAATGCTCCTCCAATGAACTACTAGTGATAGTTGTACACACAGCACGCCGCTAACACAAAAAATATATATCACCATAGGAAAATATGATAGTTCATAGAATAAATATGTTAAAACCAATAATTGACTTGACTATATTAAGACACTGAGAATGAGGTGATAGTGTAAATGACCCAATATGTTCTGATTACTTTCGTTTCATCTGCTTGTGTTAAGCAAAGTACATGATAAACAGCATAATGTAAGGAATCTAAACTATGATCTAAGCATGAAGAAATGTACATACCTCGAGCACATCAACACCACCAGAAAGTTTTGACAACACCTCTTGCAGCTTCTCTTTGTTGTAGTCGGATGTGCTTACTTCAATTGCAGATCATATCTGTCACAAAGACAAATGGCAACATTTGGCCAGTATCAACATGATATCATGTTAAATTCTAATTGTCTTGTTCTTTAAATATTAAATATAACAGAAGGGCACCAACCTGCTCACATCTCTCTTCAATAGCCTTTTTGTCACCAGCTCCATCAAGAATTACAGTGTCATCTTTTGAGATTGTCACCTAAAATATTGCCATTTACATGTTCTCACCTAAATAAGAGAAAAATTAATAAAAGAAGGTAAGAGTAGTAGCCTCTTGTTGTTTGGTTCATTCTCCATGGGCTTTGGTGCTCGTACTTTTCTGTACCAATCTAGTATATAAGAGTAGTAGTCAATCTATAGAGAAAGTCAAGATCTTTCTTAAGAGATTGAGCCCCACCTTCAAATGATATACGAGCTTCAATTTCCAACCTAGTTTTTGGAAAGTCAAACTCTTCTTAATCTTTTCCAAGGCTTCAATTATCTCTGTTCTGAGTCTTCTGTGATAAAAATAAGATCTTGAGGTTTGCATTTTCTTTATATCAACAATTGGATGGCGTTGCACAACCACTCTGACTAGAAAGTGTGCTTGCAGATACAAAGCAAGTTCATTTTTTCCTCTAGGACTAAGGAAGCAGCAACAAGGTTTTAATTTGCACCTCAAAGTCAGCTTGGACAGCTACTGTATACCTCAAATGTTTTTTGCTATTGCATACCTCAATATCACAACAGCATAGTGTATGCTGTATAACAACAATTTACATTGACTTTCAGGTGAAATTAGCTGGCTGGCTTCATGAGATGACAAACACCCACAGCTCCCCTGTCTCCTTGAGTGATGCGAGTGCTTTTATGAATGTTATTTTTATTTTAGAAGTTCCTGCACAAATGATGGAACAATTTTGGTCCAAATTGATTGTACATAAATAGAAGTGCTTTCCATAACTATGTACTTGCTATGTACCAATTGCAAAGTATCAATAAGGACTGTTTTTCAAGGTTATAAAAGAGCAAATCATGTTTCATTGTTCCCCGGACATGCCTGTAGATCAGTACAGTCTAAAAAAGGACTTAAGAAAAAAAATAAGAAATTATATTAACATCAACTTTAACACAAGTAGGTAGAGACTGGTTGGATAAACATACCAATAAGTTCAAATTTATGAGCTAATATATCAGTGGCCTCTGGTTGTGGAAGTGGCCATGGTGTACCAAACTAACGCTCCACTATATTATCAAAATCTATGCTAAGGAAATCAATCCGTTGGAAAACCAGTATGGAAATTTACCATAGCTCATGATGATCTTCATCTACACAGAAGAAGTATTAGTTCATAACAGAAACATAGACGTACAGTACTTCAAATCCTAATTAAAGTTAAAACCTTGAACAATACATAATCAAAGCAGATGGTAGACAAAACATGTACAAAAAGAGAGATTATTTACTCCAACACAAAAGAGTGTCCTTTTAATGGAGAAAATATAATCTGATACTAATTCACCACACAAACAGAGAGGCTCAGAACTGCATACAAGATCAAACCACAGCCACCACACCAAAGTGGTAGAACATTGATGAGAACAAGAATCTAGCAAACAGAAAAAGTAAGTTCATTTATCGAAAAGGGAAAACACTAGAAGAAAACACACATCAATCAATAAGGAAAATGAGGATGATGGAAGGAAGAGAGGGGAGATCTACTCACGAGCAATTTCAGCTTCAAGGGAGCGATGACATCGTGAGACTCTTGGAACCGGGCGACGGGTCGAACACAGGGGACTCATCCAGCACAGCTGGTGCTGCCGGAAGGAAGAACTTCCTCCTGTGACTCGATTTTCGCAGATTTCCTATCGACGGGAAAAGAGGTCGATGACAAGAAAAAGAAGATGATGAGGATGCAGCAGCAGCAGCAGCAGCAGAGTACGGAGAGAGAAGCGATGATGCAGGCGGAAGGAGAAGCCAAGCCATGGCTTCCCGGCGGAAGTCCCTAACCGAGAGGAAACTTATAACCTCCGGGGGCCGAAAATTACACCAATTGGCAGAAACACCCCTATCAATTTAGATATTATCAAAGCAAGCTAGATTGAGGTTAAGAAGAACTTATACATGTAAATTGAGTAATTTTGGATTTAATCAGGGATCAATATGAAAATATATATATATATATATATATACGAAAATAATAATAATAATCTTGAGTTGGAACACAAGAAATCTTAGATAATAGATTAATATCCATTAATAGAAATATTTTCTTGATTTGTGGCGGAGGTATTGATCTTCATTATTAAGATTATATACGAAAATTACTTGAAGTGTGGATTAACTTCTTAGATGGAGCCTAAAGATATGTCCTTATTCGTTATATCATCATCTTGATTGGTGCTATAAGACATTATGGAAGTGGAAGTATTTTGTTTAGATTAGGTATGGAAGAGAATCTCCAACGGAGTGTTTTGAGTCATGTCCTCATTTCCTACCCATAGAAAGAAACAATCTGTTAGATCTTGTAGATTGATGCTACAAGACCAATATTGGTTTCCATTAGTAGATTTGCTCCTCATGTGCTACCTCATTTCCTTTTGAAGCTCCAAGCATAGCTTTGATAGATGTTGTGAGCTCCTCTAATACCATAACCTCTTAATCTTGAATGGCACCCATTGCATCTGATTATTTCATTTCCTTGTGAAATTTGTCTTAAATAGGACCATAGAATTCTTAAATAGTTTTATCTAAACTTAAACTTTTGAAATGACTTAATAACTTATAAAATTACCTCTGACAATAAGAATAAAAATAAAATAATGTTCCTAAAGCAAGTAGATTAGGATACTCATATACTGAAGCTGCTGAGAAGAAATAATTTCTGAGAAATTATTTGGAAATAATTAATGTAGAGAGCTGAGCTGATGCATCATAAGATTGAGAGAAAGAGAAAGATATGATTGCTAAGCAAAAGCTGAAATCCTCCACCAACAAAAGCTTATGGTCCCCATGGCCCAATTGCCTTGGGATCTCATCAGTGCTGTGGCAGGGAACAGCTTGTGCATGCCATCATAGAAGGTACTACCATGTCTTCCCAAAGGCAAGAATGCCATCCTCAAGGAAAGACTCATGGACTTCTCAGGAAGTAGAAACAGAGTTCCTTTTTAGAGAGGGGACCAACATGGCTTTGAGAGCCAAAAGTGCCCCCTCTCATGTGTATCTGTGTGTGTGTGTGTGTGTCTGAGAGAGAGAGAGAGAGAGAGAGAGAGAGAGAGAGAGAGAGAGAGAGAGAGAGAGAGAGAAAGAGAGACAGAGGCCTCATGGAGGATTCAACTTTCATGGATGCTTCCTTGCTTTCCTTGGCCATAGGCAAAAGAGAGTCAGTAGCTTTTGTCAAGATGAAGGAGAACACCCAACAAATGTTATCATCTAAAACATTTTAATATATGATGAAGAAGGTAGAAACATATTCAATGCATTCTTGACTTTTAAATGTACAAAAAAATTATATTTTTCATTCATCAAAGTACCAAAAAAATCAATATATAACCCTCATTTCTAACATTTGAAGATTATAAGAGGATGCACTCAATTGTTCAGTTATCTCACAAATTTTAGTAGCCTCAGCTTATTTGATATCTCTCACAATACATAAATCAATGAAACAATAAAAAAAGATAATCAAGAAATTGAAATTGACAAAAAGAGGGTATGAAAATTTTTCTGTGGGATCAAATTTATATATGGAATTATACTTTGGAAGTAGCTGAATACAAGATTGTGTAAATCATCATAAGTAAAAGAATCCTCATATGATATGTAGCATAAAACAATATAGGGATTTGCTGTCTTATTGTACTCCTAAATAGCACATCATCAAAAGTTTAATTTCCACCAAATTTAGTTGCAACCCTATTGAATTTAAAAGGCACTTAAGGATGCAAAAATGGAAGCTTAATTGATGGTTGAGTGGAGACCAATCAACAGAAACCATTGACTAGTACAAATAGCATGAATGGCATTTAAAATGGAGAAGAACATGAACAAGTCAAAGATCACATTTATGAACATTGAATCATTCAGTAACCAACCAATCATAGAATCCTTTTAAAAACTAGTCAACACAAGTCAACAATACCATTAGAAAAAGCCAATCAAAAACACCAATTTCCAATTCTAGAACATGAATAAATCAAAACCACATGAAAAGGCTAGAAATGTTGGAGCAGAATTTTCAGAAAAATACAAATTAATTTGAGGTGATGGTGGATTTTAGCTGGAAAACACTTTAATTGCTGATAACAATATTTTATTGTGATAATGAAAAATGTTGATGCTGATAATTAAACATGGGACAGGCATGGAGGGTGAAATAGATGCAAGATTGATCATATGCCTTTTTGCTATCTATCAAACTCTTTTACTATATGTAATCTAAGATGAAACTTAGACACCAAGCTCTAAAGATAGGGTTATCCTCAAGGTGACATGAGCATATATTAAAGCTTCTTGTAGCAAGTCATAAAACCTAAATAGTTTTTAACCAATTGATTTTGATATACATAAAAAATTAAATTAAAAAACAAAAAAATAAATAACTTGAACTTCAAAAAGATTAAAATATTCTTAAATTTTATTTTCTTTAGAAATATTTATTTATTTTATTGAGCATGAAAGATAAATGTTTATTGTATTTGTTATTCTCTCACTCTCTCAACATATCTCTTCTGCTTTTATCATTCTGTTTCATCAAATTAATTTATAATATATATATATATATCATATTATTAATATGATATATAATTATTATTTTTGTTATTAATAGAAAATAATTAAATCTATAATGTCAGTAATTAATTCAATCTATGATGCAGTAATCCACCTAATATGGGACCCATGACAGCACCAGTAAAGCGCAATGGTATTCTCGTGATTCACCCCCACACCCCCACCCTTTTCCCCTTCCTCTCTCTCTCTCTCTCTCTCTCTCTCTCTCTCTCTCAGCCCCAACCCAATTCCAAATCAAACCGATCCCGAGCAAATGGATTTGAAGAGAGAGAGGAATCGACACCCCAATTTATCCTCTCGCCGGTGATTTCTGATACGTCGACCCAGATCCCAGCTCCCTCCCTCTTTCCAAGGCAGGTATGAGCTTGCTTCGATCTGTGGATCCATTGTATCGTTCTGTTCGCAGGGTTTTCTTTCCTTTCATCCTTGACTATCGATCTGAGCTTTACTTGCGTTCTTGGTCCCCTCTCCTACCCCTCCAATTGCAGGTCCCTGTAGTCGAGTCTCTCTCTCTTTCTCCTTGGGGCGGAAACGGTAGTTCCCGGCGGATGTAAGAGGTAAAAGTTTAGACCTTTGCCCTCTTTTGAGATTTTTTAGGGTTTTCTCCCCATCTCGATCAAGCGGAAAAAGAGCAGTTTTAGCTCCAAGGTTGGGATTATGTTCGCTCTTCTTTTACCTTGTTTGTACGTGTGATGTGTTCTGGTAGATGAGTATCTCCGGGCCGTAAAGGAAAGAGACATAATTTGGGGCATTTTGGGATGGAAGATCTCTCCAAGTACGCTCACAGCCCGGCCCACCTTGCTGTATCGCGAAGAGACCATGCAGGCCTCCGGCGGATCGTCGCCGCGCTTCCCCGTCTCCCCAAGACCGGCGACGTTACCACGGAGCAGGAGTCCCTTGCCGGCGAGCTCACAGCTGATGCCGTCTCTTCTGTTATCGATCGCCGGGACGTTCCCCATCGGGAAACCCCCCTCCACCTCGCTGTCCGGCTCCGTGACCCCACCTCTGCCGAGATCCTCATGTCGGCTGGTGCTGATTGGTCCCTTCAGAATGAGCATGGATGGTCGGCGCTCCAGGAGGCTGTTTGCAACCGGGAGGACGCAATCGCGATGATCATAGCGCGCCACTATCAGCCCCTCGCTTGGGCTAAGTGGTGCCGCCGCCTCCCTCGCATTGTTTCGTCAATCACCCGGATCCAGGATTTCTACATGGAGATTACTTTCCACTTTGAGAGCTCGGTGATCCCGTTCATCAGCAGGATTGCACCATCTGATACTTACAGAATATGGAAGCGGGGCCCAAACCTCAGAGCTGACATGACCTTGGCGGGATTTGATGGCTTCCGAATCCAACGTTCTGACCAGACATTCCTCTTCCTTGGTCAGGGTGCCCAGGGTGACAATGGGCATCCACCGCTTCCTCCTGGGTCTCTAATTGTGCTTTCTCATAAGGAGAAAGAAATCACAAATGCACTCGAAGGAGCTGGAGCCAAGCCCACAGAAGCAGAGGTGGCTCACGAGGTTGCTTTGATGTCTCAGACAAATATGTACAGGCCAGGGATTGACGTTACACAAGCTGAGCTTGTCCCTCATTTGAACTGGCGTCGACAGGAAAGGGCTGAAATGGTTGGGAATTGGAAAACCAAGGTCTATGATCTACTTAATGTAATGGTGAGTGTGAAGTCGAGAAGGGTTCCTGGTGCTATGACTGATGAGGAGTTATTCACCATTGATAATGACGAAAGAGTGGCCAATGGTGGGGATGTTGATGGTGGACTTGATGATGTATTGACACCTGAGGAAAGGATGCAGTTAGATTCAGCACTTAGGATGAGTAACTCGCAGGGCATAGATGAATATGAGGGGAATGGTGCAGCATTTGAAGGTGTTGAAAACTCTGAATCCAATGGTGTTTCCAAGGAGAGAAAAAGCTGGTTTGGTTGGAGTGGTAAACGGACTTCCAAGAATAGTGGAGGTGAGGATACAGATGACACAAAAAATAAACACTTGAAGGCATGCCCAGAGAATGGACATCATAAGTCCGAAATAGCAAAGGAGACGGGGGATACTAAGAAGGGAAAAGAAAAAAGCACTAAGAAAAGGAGTGGAAATGAGTCTAACAAACATGAGAGTGAATTCAAAAAGGGTGTTAGACCAGTTCTGTGGTTGACCCCAGACTTCCCTTTGAAAA